AGTAGAGACGGGGATCTCGCTCTTGCTCAGGCTGGTTTCGAACTCCTGAGCTCAAACAATCCGCCCGCCTCGGCCTCCCAAAGAGCTAGGATTACAGGCGTGAGCCACAGCGCCCGGCCCTTTTTTGTTTTTTTTGAGAGAGAGAGGGTCTCTGTCCCCTAGACAGAGTACAGTGGTATGATCACAGCTCACCACAATCTCCAATTCTGGGGCTTAAGCAATCCTCAGCCTCCAAAGGTGCTGGGACTACAGGCCCGCACCAAGATGCCACCTAATCTATGTATTTTTCATAGAGATGGGATCTTGCTATGAGGCCCCAGGCTGGTCTTGAACTCCTGACCTCAAGCGATTAGCCTCCCACAGTGGTAGGATTACAGGCTAGAACCACCTCACCAGCCTGGTTTGTATCTTAAAGCCATTTTTTACTACTCTTCAGCTTCTCTGAGCAGAAAGAATGCTTCTGTTTCCCTCTCAGGTGAAAGAGTTAGAACAGACCCTGCAGGCCTCCGAGGAGCAGCTGAAGCAGAGCAGGGCTGTTGTGCTTGCCCAGGAAGCCCACATTCAGGAGCTTGTAAGTGGCACTTGTAGCTGCTATGTTCTAGGCTTTTCCTTGATGACTTTGCCGTTGCCCCAGACTCCCTCCCAACTTGGGCAGTGGTGTCCAGACCTTCCTTTGGTAGAGTGGTTGTGCTTAGTGTGAACGGGTGGGCAGCACCAGGGAGAGGGAGTCAGGACCTGTCAGAGGGCCTGAGGACCCAGGGAAAGGGACAGGCTGGCTCGTTCCCACCTGACCTCCATCCTTCCGGCCCAGCCCAGTCCTGGGGCTGTCAGAGGTGGCAGCTCCGTTAGGAGTCAGCTTGCAGTCACGGGTGTGGAGAACAGGTCACACTCTGGGAAGAAGATGGCAAAGGCATGGCCAGTCATCACAGCCTGAGTGGGGCGTGGAGTTAGGGGGTAGGGAGATCAAAGCAGCCAGCATGGATTTCAGTTTGCCATGTCCCAGGCACTGTGTTGAGTCTCCATACATGTTTTCATTTAGTTCTTGCGGTGGACCTAAGAGGTCTGCACTGTCCTCCTCCTGTAGAGTAGGCAAGCTCAGAAGGATTGCGTCACCAGGCCACAGCCTCTCACCAGGCCACAGCCTCTCACTAGGCCATAGTCTCATAGCCAGTAAGTGGTAGAACTAACATCTTTCTCACGTCAAAGCCCTTGTTCTTCAGCACTGGGTTATACTTCCTCCCCTGGGGAAAGGCTCAGCTGTAGAGGCAACTCTGAGTAGCATGAAGGAGGCCTGTGTCTGAGGATGGGCTGGTGCCCAGAGCCATCCCCACACACCCTGAGGGTACAGTGATAGCATCCAGACGGATGCCAGCCTCCACCTGCCGGGGCAGGCCAGGGTCCAGGAGCCAGAGGGGGACAGTGGGGGAAACCTCAGCAACACCAGGGAGGAGAACAGGAAGGACAGTTGTTTCCATTGGACACTCACCTTTGGGTCACTGAGGGCCAGACTAGGGCCCTCCCCTCTGAAAACCATTGTCACCCTGTCCCCTGCTATCCCCACAGGCTGCTGCCAATACAGAGAGCATCCACGCACAGCAGCAAGCTCTTGCTCTGGAACAGCAGCACATAGAGCACGCCCTGGCCCTGAAGGCCCAGGTCGCCTCCCTGGAGAGAGCGCGGGCCTCCGAGCAGGCCACCGCAGAGCGCAGGATGGTGAGTGGAGAGCAGGGTGAGGCCGAGTGCAGGGGCTCCGGGTCCACACGCAGTGAGGTCGGCCACGTGCTTGACAGAGCAGCCTGCTTACTGCCTATGGACCAGCCTGGTAACTACGTGTTTTGGTGATGTCCTGTTTGCTGTTAATCTTTCAGGTGTTTGGTGACCATTATGTATCTGGGTATTTAAATACTGGCAATACCAGGGATGTTTTTCTCAATTATTGCCTCAAATAGGTTTTCCATGCTTTTTGCTTTTTCTTCTCCCTCCCAGGGATACCTATGATTATTATATAGCTTGTTTCACTAGTCCCACATTTCTCTGATTGTTAATTCTTCTTTATTTTTGTTTTCTACATTTTTGATTGAATGGGTTAATTCAAAAGCCTGTTTTCAAGCTCTTAGAGAGCAGTTCTTAGCTTTCCAATGAGACACGTGCACATGGGACCTGATGTGAAAAGGCTGCTATTTACGAAACCCCAATTCAGATGAGTTTTCTTGTTCCTTGGGCCCCAAAGAGACTTTTCGGTGCTTTCTGAGCATCCCACTCAGCTTCTCCCATGTCGTTTAGAATCCGTATTGCTCCTCCCTGATGGCTCCCCTCTCCATGGCCACTCTGCCTCCTGCACAGTCTTGAGAATCATGTGCCTCACTCCTCCTCCTCCTGGGTTTTTCAAGTAGTTCTCTCTTTCCTACCCTCACCCACATTCTCGTCTCCCACCCTGCACTGACCAAAAAAGGGAGGGGTATTTCAAAGGCGCCATGTCAAAGAGATAGGACTGTGCCGGGGAAAATATGGTAGATAAGACCTTTTCTTTTTATGTATGTTGTTCTCAATTTGCAGAGAGAACTGGAGCAAGAAAATGCAGCCCTTAAAGAAAGCAGGAGTGAATGTGAACGTTCTCTACAACATCACCAATTTGAACTAAAGAAGCTAAAGGTATTCATCTAATTGAGTCAGAGTTTCCCAAAAGTGTTCCTTTCCCTTACATGTGTGTTTGGAGTGGCCACGTGAAAGTCTCATGCTTACAATGGAGAAGGAGGGAACTAGCGTTTGTTCAATAGTTCTCTTAGGCACCTCCTAGAAATTGTCACTTCGTTAAGTCCTCTCAGGGATCCAGGACAGTAAGAAGAACTATGCTCATTTGGCAATTAATGTCGTTGAGGTTCTTAGTGAAAATAATTTGTCCAAGTTCCACAGTTCACTAGAGGTGGTGCTGGTCTGACTTTTCACTCCACCACCAAGGCCCAGCCCTTCCTCTGAGTCATCAACAGCTGCCTGAAAATGATGCTGTCAGAGCACCACACTGCCTGATTTTTCCATTGAGACCTTAATGCAAGGCCTTTAAAAATCATAAGGACCTTTGTTGTGTTTGTATCAGGGGCTTTGTGCAGGAATGAAAAAACAAGCTGCAGGGTTGTTACCCTTCCCCTTGTGCAACTAGGGCTTTAATCAGATGCTGCCTCTCTCATTCCCTCAATATAACTGGATGAAGAGGACAGAGATTCTGCCACTTTCTTATAGGCCCCCAGGCTCCCCTGCCCCCTTTCGAAGCACCCTTGGATGATGGATCATTGCTGTCGTACTTGCTCAGCTTGGTCAGGACTCAAAAATCTTATAGATCCTTTGGCAAGATCTTCTCTGAGAGCATCCATGGCTGAGTGCCTGCCCCTGTGTCCTCCGGTAATCATCTGATCAGTTACTTAGGCACTAATGCAATAATGCTGCATCATGGGAAGCATGGGCTTTGGAGTCAGATATTTTTTCATATATTCCTTCAACAAACATTTGAGTACCTGTAAGTGCGAGGCACTATTGGAGGTGCTGGGATGTGGCAATGAACAAAACAAAGTTCTTGCCCTGTGGAGCTTGTAACTAGAGACAGTAACCAAGTGACAAGTATTAATAAATGCTTTGAAGAAAATAAAGCAGGGCCAGGGACAGCCAGTGGGGAGGAAAGAGCTCTTTTCAATGTGGAGGGTGGGGAAGGCTTTTGTGATGTTTGAGCAAAACTGGCCAGCAGTGTGGATATTTGAGGAGTGGTGCAGACAGAAGAAATAGCAAATATAAAGGCTGCGAGGCAGAAGAAAGCTGGCCTCTTCAAAGAACAGCATGAAGGCCAGTGTGGCTGCAGCTTAATGACTGGGGGAGAGCACAGCAGATGGTGAGGAGGGAGGCAGGCATTAGAAAATATCCCAGGAAGCCATGGCAGGTCCTAGGCAGAGAAGTGATGTGAGAAGTTTTGTTTTAAAAGGATTTCTCTGGGTCCATGTGGAGAATGTTTGGTAAGGGAGCCACGGGCAGAAACAGGAAACATTCAGGAGGCTTTTTAGGAATCCAGGCCAGAGGTGACTAGCATGTTAGCCATGGACTTGGGAAGTATTCAGATGCAGATTCAGGATTTAGTTTAGAGATGCAGCATTTAGGAGTTGCCACTGATTAAATGAAGGAATGAGAGAAAAAGGAGTTGGACATAACTCCTAGGTTTGGTTTGTGTCACTCAGGGTTTCTCAAGCCCAGCACTGTTGACATGTGAGGCTGACAGTTCTTTGTTATGGCGGGGTTTGCAGCAAGTGTGCATTGTTGGCTGCTTGGGAGCATCTCCTCTCTAGATGTCAGGAGCAACTCCCACTTACGACAGTCAAAAAGGTCTCTAGACACTGCCAAATGTCTCTTGGGGGATCGCACTGGCAGAGAACCACCGGGGTAAGTGAATGAATAGTTCTACCATTCACTGAGAAGGAGTCTGGGAGCTAGTAGAGAGTGGATTCCATTTTGGAATCAAGTTTCAGAGGCCTTCCCAAGTGGGCATACCTCATAGGCTGTTGGCTAACGGGTCTGGAAATCAGAGCAGAGGTTCAGGTAGGTAGATGAAGTAGAAAGGCATCAGCGCAGCTCACAGGTGGAATTCACAGCCAAAGAGGATCAGCCATGGGATGAGTGTAGGTAGAGAAGAGGGCCTAAGGGGAAGGCAGGGTCTCTCCAACATTTAGAGGTTCTGAACAAAAGCAGGAGCCAACAGAGAAGACTCCAAAAGAGCTACAAGTAGGACAGCAATAAAACCAGGAGAGTGTTGAGTTCTAGAAGTAAAGGACAGAAAGTGTTACAAGAAGGACTGAGTAGTGAACTGGGTCATATGCTGCTGACTGGTCAAGAAAGGAGATAGAAAAAAAAAAAAAAGAAACAAATAGGGAAAAAAAAAAAAAAGAAAGGCGATAGAGAACTGACCGTTATTTGGCAAGACCGAGTTCATTGGCAACCTTGGCAAGAGCATTCATGGTGGAGTGGTGGGGATGAGGTTGACCAGAGCAGTTGAAAATGACATTAGAGATGCTTCCACTGCCAGTATAAGCAGACAGGGTGATTCAGACCAGCTCATTCCCTGAGGACTGCCAGAAAAGCAGGCCAAAATAAAAAAGCATCTGCTTAAAAGCACTGGGGAGCCTACACAGCACTGAGGAGAGGCCTGTCCAGCGCAGAGAGGTGAGCCTGGTGGCTCCTGAGAGGTATAGGCTGCGCTTTCCACACAGCAAACCTGAGCTGGAACTGTCAACCTCAGATCCCACAGTCCCGGATCTTATGTGGCTCTGGCACTAGCTCAGACTTTGGAGCCACACAGAGTCAGTTCTGCCTGCCAGCCTAGTCCCCCAATGGCTGATTCTTGAGGAAATCCATTTTCCTTTTCTTGAACGGAAGATGGTAGCCCCTGACCCCAAGAGCATTACTCAGGATCAAACATGACCGTGGGTGAAAAGTGCCCAGTGCAGGTCCCCAGCATGGAGGTGCTGTGAGTCTCTGCTTCCCGCCCTGGCCTCCGTTTCCTGTCTTACACAGGGTCTGCCTCCTGACTGCGTAGATGTCAGCAGCCATAGAGTCTCTTCCCAACTTGCCCAGAAAAGGCTCCTGAGGAGGCATGGCCCTCCTGTCATCTCCCCCAGGCCTCCCCATCCTCTCCACTGAGCCTGACACCTCCTGCTCCTCCCCTGTATCAACAGAACCACCACCCACATCCTCATTTGGGAGGAGGAGATGGTCATAGGCCCCCGATAAGGGGTGCTGTCTGGGGTTTGCCATTGTCCCATCTTCAGCCTCTTGAGTTCAGGCACCAGAGATTCCTTGTCGCCGGAGGTGGACTCACTAAAGGTCAATTCTGACAGTCCAGGTGGGAGGTGGATGAGGCTGGCATCACCACCACTGCCCCACTGGTCCTGACGTAAGTGGGAAGGGAGGTTTCTTATGGAGAGCTGGGTAGCTGACAGAACCAGAAAGACTGGTCGGGCTGGAACTGCGCCCTGTGGGGCTGTCTCTTGCCTGTCAGCATCTTGCTTTCTCCAGTCTGCGGGCTGCCCTGCAGATCAGGCAGACATTGCCACAGCAGCTCCAGGCTTGGAATGTTCCAGCTTAGCACTGCAGGTGAAAGAGGGCTTCTCCCCCTCAGCTTCGCCATATAAAGGGTTCTGATGTAAAAAGGGATTCTGATTGGCTCATCTTGAGTGACAGAGCCACCCTCAGATTCATTTATTTGGTCAAGGGGATGAGCTACTACAATTGGCCAGGCCTGAATCACATGCCACAAAATCAGGGTATTACTATTGTCAGCCCTGCCAGAACCATGTGGAATTTCAGAATGGGAGTGGGGAGCACGAATAGTGAGGCTCTTACCCCAAAAAAGAGGTGGGCTTCTAGGTGGACATCACCTCTTGTTCTCTCCAGGGCATTCCCTGGCCGGTGTTCAGGTGCCTGCCAAGTCATCTGGGACATCTGGGGTTGCTGGCAGCATGGGCACCAGTCTCAGGGAGGAAGGCTGTGCTGTTTGTCCTGGGGATGGTCCCTGTGCTCTGGGCAGGGCCAGGGGGGCAGCCGTGCTCGTGGTAGAAGATACTCTGGCGGGTAGAGTGTGGCGTCTGAGGCCTGGCCCTGAGCTCAGACACAGGCTGGCTTTCTTACTAGCTTTAGGACCTTGAGCAAATTACTTACCCTTCCAGAGCCTCTGTTTTTTCTCCTATAAAAATGGGGTAATTTTGATGAGTCCGTAACTTTTTTTTTTTTTTTTTGAGACCGAATCTCTCTCCTCTCTGTTGCCTGGGCTAGAGTGTGTTAGCACCAGCCTAGCTCACAGCAACCTCAAACTCCCGGGCTCAAGTGATCCTCCTGCCTCAGCCTGCCGAGTAGCTGGGACTACAGGCGTGTGTGTCAACACCTGGCTAATTTTTTCTATTTTTAGTAGAGACAGGGTCTTGCTCTTGCTCAGGCTGGTCTTGAACTCCTGAGCTCAAGCGATCCTCCTGCCTTAGGCTCCCAGAGTGCTGGGATTACAGGAGTGAGCCACTACACACAGCCAAGCCCCTGACATTTTGTCCTGTTAAATCTCAGTAATTGCTCATGATTCTTTCTGTGATGGGATTGTCCCAGTCCACCACTCCGTTCATAACAGCCTGGGGGTCTGTCTTATTATGTGCTGATTTCCTTAGACCGGCTCTTCAAGTCCCCTCGTTTGGGTCTGGTACCAGCTGGTATGCTCGTGGGACAAACCAACCCTTAGCTGGTTTCCAGAGAAGTCAGTGGGTCGTCCACGAGGACAGTTACCAGAGGGATACAAATGACATTGCAGCAAGAGGGGTGGCCTGGGAACCTCAGGAAGTGGGCAGAATGTTGCTCTGGCCCTGTAAGGCAGTACCTGTCTGTCAGGTTTCATGCAAAGTATGCAGCTAAGAAAATGTGAACTGAGTTTTGAAGCTCAGTCTCCTGCCTGTTTTCTGGACTGTAGGAGGAGTGGAGCCAAAGAGAAATTGTGAGTGTGGCAATGGCTCAAGCCCTGGAGGAGGTGCGGAAGCAAAGGGAAGAGTTCCAGCAACAGGTGGGCCCCGTTTGACGCTGAGGGGTGATGCTCCCCAATCAGCCCCCATCCTGCTGTGGGACTGTCAGAGCGGCCCCTCTGTCCAGGGTAGGGGGCGGACACAGGTCTCAGGGAATGCAGTCGGCTGCGTGGTGCCCCTCTGGTCTTTAGGAAGGTGGGAGAAAAATGTTTTAAAGAAATCCTCACCCCCATAGGATGTCCTTTTCTAATATTTGATGATCAGTTTTAGTTCTAAACATTACCTGGAAAAAAAGTCCATGCTTGGGGACCTGCTGGGCTCTAATTCTGTGAGGTGGCCCAGCACTGCCCTCATGTCCTGAAGGCTACACCAGTTTGTGGTGAGCTCTCAGCAGGAAGTGTGCCTCCTTTGAAGACAGTCTTAGCATCTGGCCCCAGACCTCCTAGTTAACTGGCTCTAGGCCTTTGGTAAGATTTTAAGTCCTTAAAATCTGAGTCTCAGAGTCTTCTCTGCTAAGGATGCTAGTCCTTCTAATTACACATCCGGAATACTGGAGTGAGGTAATGTATATCAAACGCCCACCAGAGCTGGGCACATCACAGGCATTCAGGAAGTGGAAGTCCTGGTTATGACAGCTTTTTGGAAGGTTGGGCAGAATGGCCACGTGTCTTGTTGGTCCTCTGTAGGCCGGGGGTGGGGGAATGGGCAGTGAGAGGCAATTGCCCCTGTGCAGGGACCCTGTCAAGGAGAATGGACTTGTGCTTGTTCATAGGAGCAGAGCTTAGCATGGGGCTTGTTCTGGGCTGTGTTCTTCAGGGAGGGATTCATGGTGGACCTTGGGTGGTGGAAAAGTGGAGATTCCTATGGCGGGACATAGGGTCACTGCTGCCAACCTTCTCTCATGTTGATTTTTCTCTCCAAGGCTGCTAACCTGACAGCCATGATGGACGAGAAGGAGCAGAGTCTACAGGAAAAAGCTGAAGTGCTTCTCCAGAAAGAGCAGGAGATTCTCCAGCTGGAGCAGGGTGAGGAGTCTCCCCCTGGCTGGGCCTTCTCTCCTATTCCTGCCTGGTGATAGCCTGGTCACCAAGCAGCGTGGGGTCACTGGGCTCACGGTGCACACCTCCCCTCTGTCCCGACCTAGGTCACAACTCAGCCCTGCTGCAGATGCGTAAGCTGCAGGGTGAGCTGGAGGCCCTGCGGACCCTGAGGGTGGAAGAGGCCACGGCAGCTGCAGAACGAGAGGACCTGCTGCGGCTGCGGGGCCTGGAGCAGGGCGAGGCACTGTCAGCCAGGGAGCCAAACGTAAGTCCCAGCTGTGCTTGTGTGGCTGCCGCAGCAGGGCACAGAATGATGCTGTGAGTTGCCAAGTGGGAGTGGGGAGACGGTGAGCAGGGTACTCCCCTGCGCTGTAGTGTCCTTTCTCTTAACATGGGGATGCTCAAGTGGCTAGGAGGTCATGAGGCCTAAAGGGCCCATCGTAGGTGGCAGTGCCTGTCAATGTGCAGATGAAAAGAAAGCCTATTGGCCCAGGCAAAGGCTAGTTGTGTGGAAAGCTAACTGTCCCTCCGGAAGACAGTGGCAGGACCATCTTCTCCACAGTTTGGGTTTGGCTCCCGGCCAGCTGCCTGTGGACGCACACCAAGTACACACCTGCAGGCCAGCTGGCTCCCCTTCCCCACGCAGCTTCAGCATTACCTGTCCTGGCTCTCAACTTGCTGCCACCACACTGTAGGTGACCTCGAAGGCCTTGTACCAGCTTCCAGCTGCAGGAGGAACACCAAATGGGGAGGTTGGGGCCATGGATCTAGGACAGTTACAGAAGGAGAAACAGGACTTGGAGCAGCAACTTGCAGAGAAAAATAAGGTGAGCATGCCCTGGGCCTCGGCTGTTTCTGTCTCCATTCTGTCCCCACCCTGGTGCCTGAAATGTCTCAGTTCATCTTGGACGGTTTTGCTGGTGCCCTGGCAGCTCTCAGGAGATGGCACCTCCTTCAGCAAAAGAGCTCCCTCCTGATTTTCCTCTGCCATTGCTTCCTGCATTGTCTTCCTTTTACATCCTCCCCACCCACCACGTCCTTCTTTTCTCCCACCCCCTTGAGATACTGTCCATGTGTCAGCACTTGAGCAGCTGCAAGTCCCTGTGTTCCCTGCCAGCTCTGCTGTCCCCAGCCGGGGCATAGGGATAATCTTCTCACCTCTGTACTTCCTTTCTACAGCTTTGGGATGATAGCACTGACACCTGCCTTTAAGGGTTTTTGCTTTTTTGGGGTGCAGGGGCAGTGGTTGGGAGAAGGATGAAATGAAAGGTCTTTGTTAAGTATCTTGTAAACCTGCTATTTGGTAGAGTCTCAATAAATGTCATGATCCCACCACACCCTGCACCTGGAAATTCAGGGTCTCATTTGATCCTCATTGGTGTTTTGGTTTGGTTTGGTTTGGTTTTGAGACAGGGTCTTGCTCCGTATCCAAGGCTGGAGTGCAGTGGCATCATCATAGCTGACTGCAACCTCGACTTCCTGGGCTCAAGGGATACTCCTGCCTCAGCCTCCCAAGTAGCTGGGACTACAGGCTCGGGCCACCACACCTATCTATTTTTGTTTATTTGTTTTTCGTAGAGATGGGGTCTTGCTATGTTGCTCAGGCTGGTCTCGAACTCATGGCCTCAAGCAATGCTCCCACCTCGGCCTCTCAAAGTGCTGGGATTACAGGTGTGCACCACCACTCCTGGCCCTTGATTCTGGTTTTTAAAGTGTTCTATGAAGCTTAGTGTGCTGGCTGGTTATTGCTCTGGCCTGAAATTCTGCCTCCAAGTTGCATGTGTGTATTTTTTTTTTTTTTTAGATCTTTAACAAAGGGAAAGAGTGTTAATTCTCTCTCTCATTTAATCTCTCACTGTGAAATATAAAATGCACGCAGAAAAGTGTACAAAACAAATGTGTGGCTCAATGAATTAACAAAAAGCAAACACACACGGAACCAGCCTGGATAGGCACCGGGTCCTTGCCGGCATCCCAGCAGCCAGGCACTGCTCAGGCCCCACACAGCTCCCATCAGTCCCTGCATCCTGACCTTATGGAGTGACTGCCTTGCTTTCTGTCTGGTTTTACCACCTCAGCTCACATCCGTGAACACTAAAGTCTCAATTTGCCTGTTTGTGAATTTCATGCAGGCCCCACCAGGACCGTGTCTGTTGAGCCTCTGGCCTCCCTGGCTGTAGAGCCTTCCTGCCTCCCCACTCAGCTTGGTGTCCACGCTGTGTCGTGATAACCCTGCCTCACCGGCACCCTCAGTTCTCTAGCCTCTCTCCCTTTCCTCAGACTGCCCTGGCCCAGCCCCAGCTCTGGCTAAACCCAACTCTTCCCTGCCCCATGTCTGGCGGGAGGATGCACAGTCACACTGGCACGTCTCCTACAGTCCTGCCTCGTTCCGTAGGCTGTGATGGTCCGCTGCCCTCGATCTCAACTTCATTTCTACCTTCTCTTCTTCTGACTCCAGTCCTGCCTCTCCCACCCTCTCCCGCTAACATCCTACTTCACGGAGAGGAGACTTTCCACAGCCCCCGTGCCAGGCCTTCCTGTGACCTTGGCCAACTGCCCGCCCACCCTCTGTCCTTCCGCCCCACTCCTCCTACCCTCTCAGGAGCTCCAGCCGCTTCCCCTTCTTCCCTGCGTCATTGTTTTTTCTTGCAGTCCTTCCATCCACTTGCAAGCATACAGTCATGAGCCCGTCTAATAAAAGCACTTAGCTCTCGTCCTCCTCCAGCTCCACGTTTCTATATCTGTTGTCCCCATTTCCACCCCTCCTCATCTCTCTCAGCCCCATCCATCGGACTTCCCCCATCCACAGAAGAAAGCTCTCATCGGGCTCTCAGTGACATCCACAGTGCTAAATCCAGAAGTGGGTTCCTCATTTTCCTTCTGATTGGCCTGTGGGCAGTGCTGGGCAGATATCTCTCCCTCCTCTTGAAGCTCCTGTCTGTGGCTTCCTCCTCTTCCTCCTGCTGGCTAGCCTCCTTCCCACTCGCAGGTGCCATGGGCGGCAGGGTCCAGCCCTCGGACCTCTTCTCTGCATTGCGCTCACACCTCTGTGATCTCACCCGTACCCCTATGCCCAGCCCAGATGGCTGCATGGACTCTAGTCTCATGAATCTGTCCCCTGTGTCCCCATGTGAATGTCTAAGAGTCATCTGAAACTTAAAACCTCTGAAACACTTCAGCTTCGCTGCACTCACCGGCTTCCATGGCCACCTTTCCCACCTCAGTAAATGGCAGAAACCTTGGAGTTGTCCTCGCCTGCCTTGGTTCTTTCTCCACCAGCATCAAACTTTACCCAGAATCAACCACTTCTCACCACTGCCACCCTCTACAGGTTACCATCAGCCCTTCTCTAGGAGGTGGCATTGGACTTCTAGCTGATCTCCCTGCCATTCCTCTGTCCCAGTCCCCTGATGACTTCCTATCTCTTCATGGAAGCCAAAGTCCTTGCTGTGGCCTGCAAAGCCTGCCCTTCTGTCCCCATCACTACCCTTCCACCTTGGCCCTTCTGTCCCCATCACTCCCTCTCAGCCACGTGGGCCTCGCCTGTCTGTGAACATACCAAGCGCCCTCCCACCTCAGGGCCTTTGCACTTGCTGAGCCTTCTGTCTGGAAGGTTCTTTCCCCAATGTGCCTGACTTCCTTTATGGTATCATTTTATCAGGGAGCCCTCCCCTGCCTCGCCTAACCAACCTCCCCACCAGAACCCCTTCTCTCTGTGCCTCTTACCACCTTCTGGTGTGCTGTGTCTTTATTGATTCTGTTCCCCCCTGAGGGCAGAACTTTTTCTTTTTTGTTTATTGCTGCTTCTCCAGCCCCTAGGACAGTGTCTGGCATATAGTAGGGACTCAATCAATAATTATTAGATGAATTAATGAATGAGCAAAAACCCCAGGAAACCAAGTAACATAAGATAAAATAGCAGATGCACTTTTGGGGTGATGTCCAGCCTCATGGTCAGCCAGGAGAATACAGATGGAAACCACAGGGTGCCATTTTATAGAAGGGGGTATGTTGGAGGTGGTTTAAAATGTGTACCCAGACAGGAGCTAGAAACTCTTTCATGGGCCTCTGATGCAGTAATCTCACTCCCCCAGAGAAACAATGGGGTGCCTCTCCTGAGGAAACACAGCGGACTCCTTATTCCAGCTTTGTTTCAAAATGGAAACCCAGCCACACAGTAAGACAGGGGCATCCCCTGGAGTTCCTTTCACAGTAAACCTTACCAGTGGGACTGTAGAAAGCTGTGAAAACTCTGATAAGTGAAAATCAAGTATTCAAAACTCTAACTACTCAATGGGGATGTGGACTAGAAGTACCCAAGAAAAACTTATTTTGATGTATTTATAGCTGTGAGACTTTGGAGAAATTTTTATTTAAAAATTTTTCCTGGAGCCAAGCCCAGTCTCTCTCCCCCACTGCAAGACCCTGTTGCAGTGGTGAATGATTGAATGAATGAATAAATAAATAAATAACAAAATTTTTTCCTGTATTGCTGATTATAAAGTTTTTAATTGGGAAAACAGAGTTCAGCATTTCTAATGAATAATGGAATGTGTCATAAATTACATTTAAGGCTCATAATATTAATTATACTCACTAATTTAAAAAAAAAAAGGAAATAAGCTGGACACAGTAGCACACGCCTGTAGTCTCAGCTTACTCAGGAGGCTAAAGCAGAAAGATCACTTGAATCCAGGAGTTTGATGCCAGCCTGGGCAACATAGTGAGACCCTGTCTAGAAAAAATTAAAATAAATAAAAGATAGCTTTTCACAGTGGTAGTATCATAGCCAATGAGGTTTATCCGAGGTGCAATTATTGAAAAAAAGTTTAAAAAGTATAAAAAGAAAGAAAAATAAATAAAGGATATAAAACCCAATGTTGGGTTGTACAGAAAAATCATGACCTTTTACATTGCTCAAAATACACATTGCTAATTATGGTATTTCAGAGAGCCACGGTGATAATGAGAACCATAGACTGTAGCCTGGGTATCCTACCTGGGGATCGCAGCACATAAATATAATTCTGAAAGACAAAATAGATCGTCCAGAGCCATTTCCAGCCGAGCTGTTTGTGGAGGTGGCCAGAACCAGGCTGGAGGACCAAGCCCATGGGAAGTGGCTGGGCAGCACTGGGGCATTCATCTCCTGCACAGAGGGACTGTGACCACTTGGTGGCCATTGTGGGACCTAGAAGGAAAGACAGCCCAACAGTGGTAGGCACATGGGTGTGACAACTTAGCACCAACCTCTCAGAAGGACTTCTCAGGGCAGAGACCTCTCACAGGTGTACAGGGGGTGTAAGGGGGTGTCTTTCTGTTCTGTTCCTTTATACCTTAAAGACGGTGAAATGTACATCTCACGATTGGCTTTTTGCCTTAGACTATAAAGCAGATGCAGCAGCGGATGCTGGAACTCAAAAAGACTCTGCAGAAGGAACTGGTGAGTGCCACGTGGTGTGCCAGCCTAGGCGCTCAGCCCGTCCCCTCCCCTCCCTGTGCTGTGCCTCACTCTCTGTCCTCATGGGGTCCCTTGTGCGTAATGCTCCCCCACCCTTGATTGCAAGGGGTCTCTGGGAAGTCAGATGTTGGCTGGAGGGACAATGGCCCTGCCAGCTTGAACACGCCTCTGAGAAGTGGCTTTGTGACCATGCCATGTGCCTGCCTTCTCTGAGCCTGGGTCCTCAGCTGAAAGAGGGGGTTGCTCTGCGAAGTCAGTGCAGTGACATTTGTACAGAATGTGTGTGGCATGGTGCTTGGCCCGATGTGGGATGCGAGCAACACCTCTGCTCCAGGCCATGGGATGTGTGTCCTTGACGTGGATAAAGAAACATCTGAATTTCCCCAAGTGACCTCACTCCCTCCTCTCAGCAGTCAACCCCACCTGGAGGCGCCGAGCTTCCTCAGACTCTGGCACTTCCTTCCCAGGCGGGGCCCTTTTTGCCCCATGATGGTGATCACAGCTTGGGCCAGGTGAATCTCATGTGATTTTTAGACCTGTCTGGAAGAGTTCAAACATCTTTCCCATTGGTTTTTCAGAAAATCAGACCTGATAATGAGCTTTTTGAAGTCCGGGAGAAACCTGGACCTGAGATGCCAAACATGGCCCCTTCTGTCACGAACAATGCTGACCTGACTGATGCCCGTGAGATCAACTTCGAGTACCTTAAGCATGTGGTTCTAAAATTCATGTCCTGTCGCGAATCTGAGGTAAAGGGCTTCCAGGTGCCTTTTGGGTATTGAGCTCCTCCCTGCAGAGTCTGTCCTGCAGGGCCCCCACCCACTCCACTTCCTTCTTCCTTACATTCCGATTTGATTACCGTGTGGACACGTGGTCGTTTTTCCCCCGCTGGCATTGGGCTGCCGATTGACTGAGGGTTTGGGCACCACGGAGGGAACTGGCTCCGGTGGGAGATTGGGCTCCACTGCTGAATCCTGACTTGGATGCTGAGGCCAGAGGCTGGGGAACTGAACCCACCCAGCGTCCCTGCTTGCTAAGGAAGTTCTCTCAGCCCTGCCAGTCCCCGAGGTAAAAGATGGACGGGGAGAAAGAACCTGCTGTTGCTGTCAAACTTTGGACAGCCAGAACCTCACCTACACCTGGTCCTTACTAACCAAGGAAAACAGGAAAGGCCCCAACTCCCTGGCCCCACTCCCGCTCCACCCCCATGAAGGCCCATGGCAGCAAAACTTACTTTGTTTCAGGCTTTTCATCTTATAAAAGCTGTGTCAGTGTTGCTGAACTTTTCCCAAGAGGAAGAGAACATGCTCAAAGAAACCCTGGAATATAAGGTAGGGTTCTCTGGTTGCTGTTCTGGCTTCCAAACAAACATAGCACAGCCCAGGGCGGGCGGCCCCTGCTACACATCGGCACAGCTGCTTTGGCTGGGGGTGATCCAGGCAGTATTTAGTGAGGATGTTCTCTGTGCCCAAGTGTCTGTGCTGTACTTGACCAATAGGCTTTGTCGTTTTCAAAGCATTTTCATTGATATCATTTTATCTGCAGCCCCAGGTCTGGCCCAGCACCCAGACTTAAAAAAAAAATTCCAAAAGTATCTGCATAAATGCTAGAACAGGAAAAATTACCTAAAATTCTGCTACCTGGTTCTTGTCAACTCGTTTTTTTCCCTCTCATCTCCCTCACCTACTTGGAATGGGCCTGTAGACTGGCTGCTGGAACCATCCTCAGTGCTCTGTCCAGAGCCAGAGCCAGGCTGCATGGGAGGCAGGAGGGGCTGGATCAGGTTCTCAGGAGCTTTTTGTTTCAAATGCAGATGTCGTGGTTTGGGTCCAAACCAGCTCCCAAGGGCAGCATCCGGCCATCTATCTCAAACCCTCGGATACCGTGGTCCTAGAGGGAACTACCCAAGGATGGAGCTCCATGGGTTGACACTTTTTCTGTGAAAAGAACACTGACACACCAGTCTGGGTGGGTTTTTAATCACTGTAACTGCAGTATTTTGTACAAGCGTCTAAACATTGTTTACAAGACTTAAGGCCCACTTCCCTGTAGGCTGACAGGAACCTCAGGGGGTAGCTGATCCTATGTCATTCTGGTCACCAAACAGGAGGGTCCTGGCACTACCCAGATTTCCACAGTGCTGCTAACATCCCAGCTTTGGCCAGCACCCCACCTCCACCTGAGTCCTCTTTTAATGTTAGCACTTAAGCTGAAGCGACCAGCATCTGTGAAGCAACAGCTGGGTCATCGTGCAATGATGACGCTGGAGGTAGAGATGCCCTTTGAAATGGTGCCCAGCAGGCCACCCCCACCTGCTTCTGCCAGGAGCAGCCAACTCAGTGGGGGTGGCTTTAAAAATTCAGATGAGTTAGAAGAGCTTTTTATCCCTTCCTCTCAAGAAAATATTATTTCACCTTGTTTCTTAAACCACCTCGAACTTTAGATGTGTACATCTCTGAGGGCCAGTGTGGATTAAATGAAGAATATGCAACTTTCTAGCAGTATCTTCACTTTACTTAAGAAAACTAGCAAATACATAAAAAGATTCTAAGTATAGTACCAAATACACTCAATTGCCTTTTTAATGAATGTACTTGTCTTGGATAGGTTGCTGGTAAACCATTTTAAAACTATTTTTTATAGCTAAAGTTCTTCACTATTATAAACATGTTTTCTGTGTTATAAAATCCATTTAACTGATGTTCTTAAAGGAAAATCAGAGCATCAAGAGGAAATTATTTCTAAAATTGGAATTCCTATCCCTTTGTAATTTCACTAGCCTTCTGTGGCATCTCCTCTCTGAAGCAGTGGCGGCACTTCATGGCTTTGCTCTGGATTCTGTGTTGCGCCACCACTGAGCAAGTGCTAACCACATTTCTCCTACTTACGGACAATCTGCTGTACGCATCAGAAACAGCAGCTGTCCCTTCCCCCAGCCTTGACCAAAACATGGGAGGCAGTCCGCCTCGTGTGTGGAGCCACTCTCTCCCCGTCATCCTACCCCCAAATATTTAAGATGACACTACATTCATTGAATTATGTCCAGACAGCCCCCAGCTGGCTGTAGTACTTGATGGCATGCACACGACTCTGGAAGTGACTGATAAAAACTTACATTCATTATTACTGAGGAAAAGGGAAGATGCTCATTCTGGATAAGCGACAGTATCAAATCTAAAGGGAAACTGTATTTATAGTTAGATGAAGGATTCACTGGTTAAATAAAAAACTGAATTAATAACCGGAGCTCCTAAATTTATCATCAATTGTCCAGTGATGTTGTTTCTCAATTATGATTAGGGTCAAAAAATATATATAAAGTATATCTCACAGAAAAATATTTGCAGTTAACCTATTAAATTCCCATGAAGTACCAAGTCAAGGTAGCATCACCTTAGTCCCAACTCAGGCTCTCTGCCACCTGTACGAACCATTCTGCAGTGACCTACCTACCTCCTCATGTGGCTCTTCATTGCAGATGTCTGTCCCTTGTATAGAATGCTATTTTCCATTTACCAGGTGGGAACATGAAACAGGAGTCCCTTCTGTTCTGCGATTTTGATGAGTAAGGAGGTAGCTTTTTTCAAAGTAGGATTTCCTTCTTTTCAACTGTTCCAGGAAAGAATCCCTAAGCTTAGGTAGTTCAAAGCTTGCCAGAGGCAGCTGCATTTCCGTGGAGCCGGGTCTGACTCCTTCATGGCTTTTCCAGCCCTTGAGCTGGTCTCATGCCCCTGCCCACAACTGCCCTGGGAGTTTCAGGTGTAGCTGTGGGGCTGTTACTAAGTCTGTACTTGCTTAGGGAGGATTCCTCCTGCATGTTCAATTTCCTTCAGCTTTAAGAGGAAGAGTGGAGTAAATATTCTAAGTGATTTTAATGCACTTTTACTTGTATAAAACTTTCTGTGATAGAGACAGTATATACAGTCCTTTATATGAACAATTAGATCTTTATCTTTCCTTCAGTGTTGTAAATAGGGATTGTATTATCTAAAACTGCTGTAGAAAATTCATTTGTGGTGCAATATACTTTTTAATTAAAGCTCTTCAATCCACATGCAATACAGTGGGTTTTACTTGATATAGTTTGGTATGTCAGTATTTCTTTGACTTGTTAAATCTAGTATCTAGTACATTATGTCTTGTATTTAATACTTCAAGGCCAACTTCAAGGGCTAGAGAACATTTGCCTTTCAGAAAGAACCTCTCCAGAATGGATTTGGGTGAATAAATATATTGGGAGCGGAAGGGATAAAGTCTCGCTCTATTACCTTGGCTGGAGTGCAGTGGCATCATCATAGCTCACTCCAACCTCAAACTCCTAGGCTCAGGCAATCCTCCTGCCTCAGCCTCCTAAGTAGCTGGGACTATAGGTGTGTGCCACCATGCCCGGCAGAGATGGGGTCTCGGTGTATGTAATTTAATGAAACCAATAGCCTAGTCCTACCTCCCAGGAATCACAGTGGTTCCGTAGAGGGGTTGGGGGTGGAGGATTGTGTCACTTTGGTGAACGTCTGTATCCAAGGACCATATGACCTGGAAGAGCTTCAGGAATATGAATGAGGTCCTTACCTTTAACACAATGCAAGCTGCAGTGGCATGCGCTGAAAAGGAAAGAAAAGCATTTTTGCCCTTCAGAGTAGCTCACTGTTACTGGTAATAGGGAACTGTATTTTGCTTTTATATATCTGTTGGCTGATTGCTCCGTTGCTAGCTTTTAGTTCTTTAAAGAAAACCTGTCAATGCCGCAGTGAGAGTACTCCTGCAACATAGCCGACCCAGCATCAGGAGATGGTGACCAGGCCCACCTGAGGCCCACCCTCAAAAGAGCCAAGTGCAATCACACAAACTGAAGACTTTTAAAGCCTCAATCAATTATTAAAATGTTTGGCACTTTATTAAATTAAATAAGCTCCAAAATTACATACAAATCAAAGGAGTAAGAAACAATAAATAGTTATTCAGCAAAACGCCCCTCCGTAGCAGCCAGCAGCACTGTAGCCAGGGCTCCCGTGCTGCTGTGGCAGAGGCCTGCAGATTGCCATGCTCGCTCCCCAGGGATGGCTAAACAGGGACGCACATTTACCTCTTCCACACCGAGTCTCTGGAACAGTCGGACTCTCATTCATTACCATCCCATCTGTTACCATTTCTTACATACATGAAACACACCGCAATGTATATACTAATAAGCCAAGAGCTTTATTGATGCAGCAGGCACTTTACAATGAACCCAAGAGTGTCCGCCTTCTCTGGGAAGACGGGGTGTCTGTACAAACTCTCGGGTTTTTTTTCCACTTCAAAAAAAAAAAACAAAAACAAAAGCTCTCCCTTTTACCACAGCCCTTGGATCTGCACCTGCCCAAATCATCCCTCCCCCAGTGCACACGGGTACACCTGACCGACGCTGGCCAGCCATTCTGGTAAACAGTCAAAATGTCAGTTCTGCATTACTTGTAGACAAAGGCATAGACTATCAGATCCTGCAAAGGATTTAGGAAACAGTAAGATGATTTCTCCCTCCACCTTGAAAATAAAATACATTTCAGCAGATACATGTCCTGAAATAGTTTAGTTGGGAGTTCCTAGGAAGACGGTCCATTGTCAGTCCCTTCTTCACCAGCCTGGGCATCCAAAGTTCTTCTCAAGGTAACATGAGTCTTTTTTTTTTTTTTTTTTAAACAGTCTTTCTTGCTGTAAGAACTCTGATAATGGAGCCTAGTCCTCCTACTGCTAAGGCCTGTGGGGGCAGGAAAAGGAAATGTGTCAAATGAGACTTGGCTTGCCAAGGGGGAGCCTGGCTTGCCAGGGAGATGGGACTGTGCACCCCTTGACCTAGATCCCATCATGACCCTCTCAAAGAAGATGCCTGCAACAGACCATGTTCTAGGGAAGGATCCCCATCCTAGAGAAAAGGATGCTGAGAACCCCAGCTCTTGGGCAGCAGAGCTGGTTTGAGAACACTGTCACCAAGCATACATGGCAGAGCCCCTCAAGTTCCCTTTTGACAAGCTCCTTTTTTTGTTTCCAGCCTACCGGCCCTGCTCTAGGCAGAGGTGTACCCAAGCCCATTGAGAGCTGCCTGTTGACACAGCTGGCACCAGGCACCAAGTCGCCTTAAAGGGACAAAAGGGCCTGGCCTCCACATCATGCGGAGGGCTTGCTCACCTCCCCTGAGCACCAGAGCCACCCTCACCTACTGAGCCCCGGCAGAGGGGAGACTGACGAGGCACAGCACACTCACCAGCAAGACCAAAGGCCACAACCACAGAACCACAGCCGAACAGCTACTGCCTCAAGGGGCTAAGCCCCCAGGAAGGGAACCCCTCTCACAACTCAACACTGAGCCTCTTGGGAAGGACGGTGTGGAATAGCCTGGTCTCCTTTAATGGTGGGCGTACTCACCGTAGCACTGGGGTGTGTGGGGGAGGCTGTGGGAGGGGGCCACAGTGGCACACAGGCTTGACAACAGGCCTTGCTCTTATACCATGAATGGCAGACACTTTTTCTACTTCACATGGATGAAGGCCACATTAAGTGACTGTCAAGGTTTCTGCCCACTGCTTCCTGACAGGGTAAGGCTGAGGACAGGGCAGGAAGGTCACAGCCGGCTGGAGGGCTCAGCCTGCATTTCTAAGACCCCTCCAACTCCCTCTCCCCCAGCAGCTGCCTCCACCAATGCAAAGAAAGTATCATGAAGCCCCAATCAACCAGCAACCAAACTCCCTCCTACCTGGGACTCCCCATCTACCTTACCATGCATGTGTCTATCTTACCATGCCACGTCACCTGCCCCCATGTCCTGCACCAAGGGCACCCTGTCCTGCCTAATAAAAATCAGCAGTTCAAAAGCAAAAGCAGGCCGGGCGTGGTGGCTCATGCCTGTAATCCTAGCTCTTTGGGAGGTCGAGGCGGGCGGATTGTTTGAGCTCAGGAGTTCGAAACCAGCCTGAGCAAGAGCGAGACTCCCGTCTCTACTAAAAATAGAAAGAAATTAATTGGACAACTAAAAATATATAGAAAAAACTAGCCGGGCATGGTGGCGCATGCTTGTAGTCCCAGCTACTTGGGAGGCTGAGGCAGGAGGATCGCTTGAGCCCAGGAGTTTGAGGTTGCTGTGAGCTAGGCTGATGCCACGGCACTCTAGCCCGGGCAACACAGTGAGACTCTGTCTCAAAAAAAACAAAAGCAAAAGCAACTGCAATTACCAGAGACCTACCAAGCGCTTCCTTTGGAGAGCTAAGCGCTCAGATGTCCAAGGTTTAGGCTTGTCCCCTTATCGCATATGCGCATCAGACCATCCTACATTTGTTTTGGAAAATCTGGCTTTTTTTTTTTTTTCCCCTTTACACACAGGGTCTTGCTGTTGCCCAGGCTGGAGCACAGCAGCATCATGAAGGCTCACTGTGTCCTCCTACGACTGGGCTCAAGCAATCCTCTTGCCTCAGCCTCCCTAGTAGCTGGGAATACAGGTACATGCTACCACACTCGGTTAATTTTTTAAAAAATTTTTAGTAGAGATGGGGTCTTGCCATTGCCCAGGCTGGTTTAGAACTCCTGGCCTCAAGCGATCCTCCCACCTGGCCTCCCAAAGTGCTAGGATTACAGGTGTGAACCAATGTGCCCGGCCTGCCTGCTGATTTGAACCCTGGGATAAGTCAATGGGCTGCCTGCGGGGGAAATGTGTTCACATACCTTTTCATGCCACTGGAGTAACACTGCGCTGCTATTTTCTGTGGGCTTCTCAAACCCTTTATAAATGTACTTCATTAGCAAGTCAACGCCATTTCTGTCCAGTGACTGCACAGCCTGCTCAATTTCACTGCTCTTGAAGTTTGTGAGTACTTTCAGCACCACACCCTGGGCTCGCTCCTACAGGGGAAAGAGAACGGGAGTCTGAGGCCACAATGGGCACAGGAACACCAAAGCCAGTGATCAGAACTCACCAGGAACACTGCCCAATATCTAATTCAGCTAGAATGGTCAAAATAAGTGGGCTAAAACTATTACTGGTTTAAATTTCAAAGTATCCCTTACTTATGCCAGTAAGTTATTCCACTTATTTTAGAGGGAATAGTCGTTTACTGTGGACAAGTATCACTATTTATGATGACACCAACAAGGCCTTACAGTCCACAGGATCACAGTAGTGGAGGTCTATTTAAAAAAATAAAAAATAAAAAAAACAGGTTTGCGTGGCTGCAGCTTCTCTGCGTGTTCAAACCTTGGAAAAGAGGCCATTCCCCTCCACCTCTGTAAAAGTGCAGCCTTTGGTTACATCAAGATGCTGTCACAAGATGCCAGCTTCCTAGCTGTAGGGAGACCCCTTTCCTTGGACCAAATTTTAGACAGCCCAAGTGATGCAGTAAGGGGTAAGTGTATGTTTTCATCTGGTTTTTAAAAGGCAGGAAATCTTAAAGGCACTTAAAACCCTTATGCAGATAAAACCTATTCAATAGCCTGTAAAAGCATAACCACTGATCCTCCCTTATGGCAAGCTAATTTATCTGTTTTGCTAATCAGCAAGGGCTGGGCTGACTTCTCACCCCAGGAGGCCCCAGGGAGAAGTGAATGTTTCTTTGGGGAGCTTTTACTATAAACACAGAAAGCTTTGATGTCAGAGGAGCTTTAAGATCTGGGGAGTACCAGGAGGCTTCTGTGGAAGCCCTGCCCAGTGCCAACTCACTCCCACTGATGCAAAGAGGAAACACTAA